TGCACCGTTCCGGGAGATGAATTGCACCTTATTATTATCATTATTTGGGGGGAGGGATTGTCATCCACTGCAGTGAAGCCGCTTTGGGAAATTCTCCATTGTGAGACAAATAAAGGGTTTTGAAGATCTTATGAAGAGTATATTATGTTGACATTGCTGGGAATTTCTCCATTGTGAGACAAATAAAGGGTTTTGAAAATCTTATTAAGAGTATATTACGTTGACATTGCGTGTGTGCGTATGTGTGCGTATGTGTGCGTGCGTGCGTGCGTGCGTGCGTGCGTGCGTGCGTGCGTGTGTGTGTGTGTGTGTGTGGTCCTTCAGGTGAGGGAAGCTCATCGGTGTCCCCTCTGACGCCAGGAGACCTGCTGATCGCCTTGCACAATATTGACTCCATCAAATGCGACATGAAGTCCATCATAAAAGGTTCGAAGTTGATCGAATGCTCAACCCCAAATTTCTGAAATCCTTTTTTTTCTTTTTTTTTTTTAACCCCCTTCATTTTTTTCTTCAACCTTTAGCAACCAACCTGTGCTTCGGTGAGAAGAACGTTTACACGTCGGAGGTTCTGGCGGTGGTGATGCAGCAGCTGATGGAGCAGAGCCCTCTGCCCATCCTGCTGATGAGGACCGTCATCCAGTCGCTCACCATGTACCCGCGACTCTGCGGCTTCGTCATGAACATCCTGGCCAGGCTCATCGTCAAGCAGGTCAACGTCGCCTCTCGCGTTTGCTGGCGTGATCGTTCGTTCTCTTGCTTCGGCCGGCATCTCATTTCGGGGTCCGAGAATCGCCTCGCGCTAAGAATGGAGAATCTTGAGACGGAAGCTGCGCCCCGCTCAATCGGGTTACGCTCGGGGCGTTGTGCTCGCCACGCCAGCATCTCATTTCGGGGTCCGAGAATCGCCTCGCGCTGAAAATGGAGAATCTTGAGACGGACGCTGCGCCCCGCTCAGTCGGGTTGCGTCAGCTTTCCGACGACGAGCAGAATATACGACAGGTCACGTGACGGCGTCTTTCACCCCCGAAGGTGTGGAAGTACCCCAAGGTGTGGGAGGGCTTCGTCAAATGCTGCCAGAGAACCAAACCTCAGTCCTACAGCGTCCTCCTGCAGCTGCCTCACACGCAGCTCGCCAGCGTCTTTGAACGCTGCCCCGAGATGAGGGAACCCCTGCTGCACCACGTTCGATCCTTCACGCCGCACCAGGCAAGTACCGTCCCCCGCCGAAACATCTGGGAAGGCCTCAAACCGCACCATTGTCATATTTAAAACACACGCAACAGGCAGTAGGCGGGGTACACCCTCGCCTGGTTGCCACCCAGAATATATATATAGCATATATTGTTCTGTCTGTATTGTCCAATGTATGATTTTGTATTGTATATGGTATGTATTGCGCAATGCATGTAGCAGCATGGAGGGCCTGTCCTCCGAGACCAGTTTCAAATTCAAATTCAGTCGCCGGGGCACAAGGAGACAAACGGCCAATTTAATGAGTATTCGTTTATTTCTTGCGCTCGTATCCGACAGCAAGCTCACATCCCAGCCTCCGTCATGGCGGTCCTGGAAGCCAGCAAAAAAGCCGAAGCCAAGCCAGCGGAGCCCGTGAAGAAGGACGCGCCCCATGCGGAGAGAGCTCCCCTTTTGGCGGCCGCCGAACAAGCGCAAGCCCAAGCCCGGCAGCAGGAAACACGCACCGTCGCGACTCATTTGGTGGAGGAGCGGGAGGTGGCGGCGGTGGAGGAGGAGGAAGAAGCGGAGGAGGAGGAGCAGCAGCAGGAGGAGGAGCAGGAGCAACCCATGGAGCAGGAGCAAGCAGATCTCGTGAGATGTGAGGAGACCGTCAAAGTCCCCTTGGAGGTAAGGTCTGCTAACGTGGCTACAAAAGGAATGGCCGCTTTCTCCACAAACAGTTGAAAAGACAAAAACAAGTTCAGTCGGTTTCCAATCTGCAAATACAATCAACATCGGCAATAAAAATAGTTGAAGTCCCCTCGTGCCCTGGGCCAAATCGACCGCGAGTGTCAGAAACCAGAAAATGGATCTCCCCAATGAACACCGTGACCAACCGTTTCAGAGCAAAAACTGTTTTTGTCCAATGAAAGATTTTGAAGTCATGTGAAGATGGCGCAAGTTGACCCGCGTTGTCCATTTCGATTTCCCTGAGGTGGAGATGGCGAGAGGTGATGAAACACCCGAACCCGAAGGGGAACCGGAGCCTAAAGCAGAACCCAAACCTGACCCTGTACCTGTACCTGAATCGGAACTTGAACAGCAAGCTGAACCTGAGCCCGACGTTCAGCCGCATCCTGAACCACAAGCCAGCCCCAAGCCAGAAGCTGAACCCGCCGAGGAGCCGATGGAGACCTCTGAAGCGCCACCGTCAGACTCCCAGGAGACACCGAAAGAGGATGAGGACCAAGACCCCGTTCAGGACATTGGGAGCGGCTGTGAAGGAGCGGAATGAAGCGCACAACTTTTCTCCTAAATGTTTGCGGGTCGTACCGCTCCTTCTCTTCCTTTTTGTATTTGCTGAACATTGAGGAACGTTTCCACGCATTGCCCACAGCACTCGACAATAAATGAACAAAACAAGACATGCATCGTCACGTCTCCTTTCTTCTACGTGACTAACGGGTTTTTGGCCATGTGAGCGCCATGTTTATCAGCCCCATGCTGTCGGATTTGGATCTTCAAAGTTGTACTTTGTTGCCGAATGACACGTGTCCATGTTTTCCCTCCGACGACCCATCAACCATACTTGGATTCCCAAGGTCATGAAACATTCCCGTTTCGACAGCACTTTTTTTTTTCTATTTACTTTCCTATTTCGTCACTCGGCACATACAAATATTGTACAACCGCTTGCGACTGACCAACAGAGGCAAAGATTTAAAGCCTGGCGTCATCGAAGGGCACCGATACAAATTTGCAGCTCGATTACATTCGGTGCCGACCCCGGGTCGAAAGCCTCGTTCCCAAAAGAGGCGTGGTTATTGGAGCCACACGTGACAGGCATTCCGGAAGTGGTGCAGTCGCGCTTGAACTTGGCTGCCGCTTCAACGGCCGACTTGACGACTTTTTTCCGATAGACGCGTCACTCCTGCGCAAACAATTAGCGACCGTCAGCCGCGGAGAGAGTATCGATGAAGGCGGTGATCCTCGCCGCCGGCTACGGGACCAGGCTTCAGCGGGACGTGGCGGCCGACCGCAGCGGGCGCTTCGCTCACCTGGTCGGCTTAGCCAAGCCGCTGCTGCCGGTAGGGAACCGCGCGCTCCTCAGCCACTGGATCCGAGTGCTGGCCGCCTCCCACGGGCTGGACGGAATATACGTCGTGGTGAGTATACAATCGGCGTCCCGTTTTCTACTCAAGGAAATGCACTTTGCTCCCATCACAGAAAGAGTTTTTGCTCACGTAGCGTCGGACACCCTCCGATTGTCCGAAGCCAGTCGCAGAATGCAGAATGCCCTTTTCTGCTGAGTCTCGTTGACAGAGACGCGCCCAAACAATTTCAAACGGAGCGTTGAAAGCGAAGTCCGGGGGGCGACTTATTTGTTTGTTTGACACATTTCTGTTCTCACCCGAAAGTGGTCAACCCCCAGTTTGAGTTCCTGAGACTTTTCCCATTTCCCCTCTCATGATTGACACGCCCACCGAAATTTGGTGTGTTCAAATGGTGACTTGTTTTGTCCTCGCTCTTTCCACAGAGCAACGCTCTTTACCTGTCCGCATTTCAAGAATGGGCCTCACACTTCCCAAACGTCGAGATTGTCTGCGACCAGACCACAAACAATGATGTAAATATCAAAAGCATCTTTTTCTTTCGTGACATGCTATGGAGGGCGGGCGGCCCTGTGGACGAGTGGTTAGCGCATGGACGTCACAGGGCAGAGGTCGATCCTGCCTGAAGACAGCTGGGATAGGCTCCAGCACCCCCCCCCCCGCGACCCTTGTGAGGATAAAGCGGATTGGAAAAGCAATGAATGGACATACTATGGAAAGTTAACTTTTCGAGGTGCCGCCTCCTCGAGTAAAAATGCCAAAGAATCTTTATGGGCGCCGGGGGAGGATGGTAAAATCACCTCGTGGTGGCTTTTCGCACACGCTGTTTATTTGTGGATGTGGAGAGGCGAGCACGCATTTGTTGCTTGTCGCTTTTGGCGAAACGTTTGGGCCAATGACGACAAAAAAAAGCGAGTGCGTTTTCATCGACGGTGGCGGCACCTCATCACCAAGCCACCGAATGGCAATCGATTAAGTGTAGCAGATCCATGTGTGTGGCGCATGCATTGAATACTTCAAACCCAACTACACCACCACCATGTCGACAACAATCAAACAAACAAAAGTCCGTTTTTCATCACGCATCCCACTGAGGGCAGAGGCCAAGCCAAAAATGCTGCTTGCAATCAAATGTTCCATGTGCCGCCACCAGTCTGAAGGCGGTATTCTGATTCCATTTGCGGTTGTTGAATATGAATTCATCAGCAAAATCCACCTTTTTTATCCATCTTGTGTGGGTGGCCATATTGCCCTTTGTACTGCCACCTGCTGGCAACAAAAATTTACATCACAGAGTCCATTTCGCACATCTCGTGACGGCACCCAGAAAACTCGATTCAAAAAAGGAGTTAGCACTTTCTCATTATCAGTTGCTTAGTTTTCTATGTTTATCCTTTGGTTTTTTGACCAGGAGCGTCTCGGTGCCGTGGCCTGCCTCCAGCTGGCAGTGAAGCACTTCCAGATCCAGGACCACGTCATGGTGATTGGAGGGTGAGCTCACATCATTTATCACCAACATTTGACTCAGAGAACGCTGACCGGTGGGTTTCTTTTGTTGTTGTTGTCGCATTGTTACACAAGCGACACGCTCTTCAAAGAAGACTTCAGCCTGGCTCAGATCCAGTCCAGGTTTTCAGAACTCCAAGCGGAATGCGAGGACAACAATGTGGTCTTGTCCTACAGGTGCAGAGATGACGGTGAGGTTTGAGTGTTTGCTCGTCTCTATTCTGTGAAAAAACAAGTGTGTCATTTTTCTCGTGCTTCTTTGTGGCGCAGAAACTCCCAAATACGGAATAGTGGAAGTCGATAACGAGCTTCGAGCCCTCTGTATGAAAGAGAAGCCGCTGCCATCGGAGACCGCGTCAAGAAGAGCGGTAAGTTCAATCCTCAAGTGGACGTTCACCCGCCCGTCTCGTGCATTGGAGATGAAACGCTGACATGCTTTATGTTTGTCTGTTACGTTGGGGTGGACTAAGGTGCGCGCGTGTACCGCATAGCTCGTGCTCGTGGTTCAAGTTACACAGAAAGCAACGAATGGATCAAACGCACAGCGAGCTCAACGCGCCGCTGATGGGCAGCCATGACTTGCGAAGGGGAAGCTATTTGGACTAGAGAAGTTCCTCCCCTGGCGACGTGGAAGAGGAAGCTGTTGCGCATGCCATGTGGTCAAAAACGAGGCGATTCAGGGAACCTGTTCAATCATTTGAAGACGTCGCACCCGAGTGATCAAACGGAAAGCATGAAATATGCGAGCGGAGTTTGAACAGGCTGTCCACGTAAACATTAGCGGTTTAATGGCCAAACATTAGCCGGCAGCCAGCGGAAGAACGCAGCACTCCATCGTGTCACCTTTTGATCAGTCATGTTTGAAAGTAGCAAGGATACGAACGACGAAACATAACTTCAAAATTATTGTGTTTTCATTGTAAGGCGTATTTATCATTCCTGAATGGGGGAAAAAAAAAAACGGTGCGAATGTTTGATGACTCGATAATTATCTGTTGTTAGTAGCGTCGCTTTAAAACTGGCCATTTAAAAGCAATGAGAAAAATTGGTTGCCGGTCCGCGAACAGCATGGAATTGTCTCAACCGGTTGGGGACCGCTGCTTGGGGGAACTGATTGGCGTCCCGCAATCTGGATCTTGCCCGATGACTGTCCGTAGTTGCCTCTTGACTTCCATTCGCCACGGCAGCTTTTCTTGTTTTGTTGTCCCAGTGTCCTTGTTTCTACGTGTTGTCGAAGAAAAGCCTCCCTCTCTTGGACACCTTCCTCCTGGAAAAGAAGGTACCGCTGTCGCTAATCATCCACGCTGGCCCAGATCAACAAGGACAATGATTTGAATGAATCATTTCCACCGTGGCAGGATGCTGCCATCCAGGAAAAAGATGCCCCCGGAAACTTTGTGTCTTGGCTCATTCCGAGGTAAACGACAGACACACTTGTAAGAATCATAAAAAGAAGACGCTTGATTGACTTGATACTTTCAAGGATGCTGTTCATATTTCTTTAGCTGTTATCATTCACAATTAAATTCAATACATGCTTCATTTGCTGTTACGAATAAGAATCAAATGTATTCCAGAAATATTCCTGATAAATTACGATGAGGGACCCAGTTAGGCTTTTATTTTTATTATATTTACCCAATGTATTACACATATTCCATTGCAATCATGTATTCCTTTTTAATATAGTCACCAAGATATCTTAATTTTATGGTAGAAAACACCGTTCAAAGGGAGCCATATAAGTATCCATCCATTTTCAGAAGTGCTTTCTTGATATGCAATCTTAATGTATTTAATAATTCCTCAATCTAACATTAAATAAACTTCTTGATATGTCGAAACGTGAATTTGAGCACAGTATTCTGTGAGGCAGATTTTTAATATATCAGTTTTTCTCATTTCACAGAAAACCCGTGTTTGTACACGAGATTGGCGGGCGTTTCGACGTGGGCAACTTGCAGTCCTACGTGGACTGCGACCAGTATTTCAAGGACAAACTCCAAAACGTGCCCGCGTACATGATGTAGAGAGAGCACCGGAGCACATCTTTCCAGATTTGATTGGCAAACTTGATCCACAGACGCGACGAATCCTTCCGCCTACTCGGCGAGCAGCCTGCCGCAGCGGTCCGACGCCTTCTCGCGGCCGTTCTCCATCTTGGCGATGCGCGAGCCAAACTGCATGGCCCTCTTGGGGAGGACGGCGGACGGTCCGAGGCCCAGCCGGCGGGCGGCCAGCCTCAGCAGCAGTTTCTCGCCGACGCCCCGCGGGAGCGTCAGGTCGGCCTTGTCGCGCATGGGCAGAGAGTTCAGGTAGCTCACCACGCTCTCGTCCAGGTACGGGAACCTGACCGCGGAAACTCACTTTTTAATACAGACAAATACCAAACTTCTTGCACTACTTTCAAAATATCTTAGCTCCCTGAGTGCCACCATCACAACTAACAAATGACGCACCGACACTACAATAAAGAAGAGTACGCTAACTCGTTATGGAAGCTTGGATTTATCCCCCACACCCCACCCGGGCTAGCCCAGCACCCAGTTGTCTTAGAAATGAAAGGTCTGCAAGGATTGGTTGTTAAGTATTCAGCCTTCGTGGACCTGGTCCATATTTCAGGTCAGTCCGGTACGAGTGGTCCTGGTCTTTTCAGCATTTGACCAGGTTCATAACAGCTGGGCGTGCCAGGTCCATCAGTGCCTATCTGACCAGATTGACAGACGGCAGGACCACAAGGGTCGCATTTCAGCTCAGTTCAACTTTCGACCAGGACCAGAAGTGTCAAACTGATGACCAGGTCCAGAAGCGTCCAACAGACTGGCTTCGCGAAGCCTGAACGGGCCAGGTCTACAAAGGTTAGGACGCGCCAACGGTTTTGTACTTATTTAAAAAAAGAAAAAAAGACTCCCAACCTGGCCTCTTTCCCGTGGTCTGCAATCACTCTGTCATCCCTTCCCAAGTTCCTGGAGGAGATCCTGCCGAGCTCCATGGCTATTTCTTGGACCAGCCCTTGGTATCCGGATGTCTTGAACCTCACTCTGTGTCTCGCGTAACCTGCCAGCTGCTCGTCGGCTCCGATTCCTGTCAGAATGACCTGGAAGAAGGCTTAGAATTAGTATCCGGCCCCGTTCCTGTTAAACCGGTGCGCAGTGAAATGAGGGCCTCAAATTACTCCCGGTTTTTGTCTCTGCTGGCTTACCTTGGCCGAAGACATGAAGCCGACCCGGTCGCGGTCCCGGCCCAGGAACCCCTTGCCTCTGGCCGCGAACCACACCGCGCAGCCGATGCTGTCGTCCAGTACAGTGTCCAGTGGGTGCACCAAGTGACTGATGCGTTGGCGTCGCGCTTGTTGCAGCTCCTCCTGCGTTACGTCCACTTCCACAAAGTTCCATCGCCTCTCTGGAGCCAAGGCCTGTAGTTCCTTAAGGCCGGATTTGCCGGTGATTCTGTCCGGGACATCGAATGGGTTGCATGTTTGTGTTTCGGACTGACTCTTACTGGCTTTTTGTTTCTTGGCAGAGGCTTTCTGAGCCTCCCGCTGTCGAAAAGCCACGTTAATAAGGTCTATAGATTGACAATCGGGTACGTGACGGTGAGCCAGGATGGCCAGCATCATAGAGTCGATGCCGCCTGAGAAAAGGATGCCAATGCTGGAATGGTCGCCGACTTGTGATTCATTGGGCAAAGACTGCACGCGTCTCCTGACAGCCTCGCTGAGAACATCGATCAGACCTTTCACTGCTTGATCCTTTTTGATCTTGTCCAGAAGCTCTTCCGGATCCTCCCCGATGGGCTCTCTTTCACGCTGCTCGTTCAGTGTCGTATTCAAAGGATTGACGGGTGATCGAAGCAGATCCGGGGGGTTCTTCAGTATGATGCAGCTGCCCGGGCCAGGAAGCTGGGTAGTCTCCAGGCAAGCGGAAACCCGATCATCTCCACCCTGAGACCAGGGATAAAGTTCTATCGTCGGTGAGCCGGATTCTACCACTGACTTCAGGTCGATCCTGTACACGCCGGCCGCAGGGACCTCCTGCCATACACACGATCCAGGATTACGAGGGCTGGACTGAGTCGGTCCACAAGCATTGGACTGGCCAGATCCACTCGTGCCGAACTGCTGGGATCGAAAGGAGTCAGAGTGACCGGGTTCACAGGGGCTGGCCCCCACAGAGCTGAGGGTCAAGGCCTTCAGTGTTTGGTCATACTTCCAGAGCAAACTCCTTCTCCCAAAGTAATCCCTCCCGAACCAGAGGCAGTCTTGGCTCTTTTGGTAGTACGCAAACCCCCAGGGGCCTCGAACGGTGGACAGGACAGACAAAATGTCAGACGGGTCGCTGCATGAAGACAAATGCCTCAGAACAACAGCGGTGTCGTTTTCAGGTGGCAGGACTTGTAAACCACCAAAGACCTCCCCGTTCCAGACCAGGACGTTGCCAGCAGGGTCCCGGAGCGGCTGAGTTGTGAGGAGACCTCTCATGTGGAGAACATGAGCCGAGAACAAGCAGCGGTAAGGAGGATCGGAGCCCGAGACAATGAAATCCTCGCTGGAGTCGGGGCCTCTTCTTTTTAAATGTTCGTAAATGCCTTTGTCCCACGTGAACCGAGAGGACGCTGGACTCACAAGACAAAAGATGCCACACATGGTTGCAGGATTGCTCAGCTTCACAGGTCTTGCAACTCCTTCGTCAGGCTGTCCAGCTTCTCTGTGGACAAGAAAAGCTGTTACCTTCCTTTTGGCACTGTCGGTGAGGGGTGTGGTGACAGCTGGTTCTTTTACATGAGACAGAACTGCCCCTCAAAACAGGCACATATTCAGCCAGGCTCTGAAAATAGGATTATAACGTTGCAAAAACTCTCAATTCTTAAGGAAAGGGAACTGTTTTAAACTGTCACAAAAAAATGGGTGGGAGTACAATACCTCTTGTGGATTAACTTACTCTTGCATGAACTCAAGGTCTGTCCTCTGTCCGCTAAGAACAATATGTTGCTGTTCCTCTGCTGGACGTACACTTTCTAAAGGCAAAACAGAAACCCAATTCATTCAAATATCTCAGTCACGGATAACTGTAATACATTCATTTAATCAAACTCACTCTGTCCTTCTTCAAACCAGACAGCTCGTCCACAGCCACCGTTTGCTGCTTGATCTGACAGTTAAAAGAGGAACGTGTATCAATGCCTTAGGTCACAAAAAGTAGAAAAATGACTTTCCCGGCCCAATAAATACGTGTTGTGGCCAAACCGAACTTGTGGTGGTGAAGGATTACATTTGTGTGGACAAATACAGCATTATGTGAGCAAACTAAATGGTTAATTGTTGCATTTCTGTGGGTAAGTATAATTTCATTGAAAACATTTTGCGTTTTTGGTGCAAAATATACATTTTTCTTTGGGGACGAATGCGGCCTTTTAGTAATCAGCCAATTAATGTAATTATGCATTTCTGCGGGAAACTGCCATCAAATGAGTCACGTGGGTGCTCCGAATGTACAATTAATGAATACTGAACAAGTTTGTGATACTATTCTTAGTTCTTGTGCTTGACTTGGAAGCTATAGTACCTGTTTGTTTAGCTCCTCCTTGCGTTCGGTAGACCGTCCGGCCAAATCGTGGTCCTTATTGTTGACTTTGGAAGACATTTTTGGGACCCCAAAATAACAAAAACTCTGAGCGTCAGAGAAGCCGAAGTTCAGCTAACGCGTGAATAGCGACTATCGACATATGGGCAAAAGGAAAACACTTCCGGGTTTTTCTTCGTGACGGCCAATGGCAGGTTACGCACTACCGGATTGGATTTTTTTTCAGACTTTCTGAAACGTAAGAGTGGCTTAAAATTGTTGGATGTGTATATTTCTATGGCGACTTATTTTCCTCGAATTGATTCACCATTCTTATTTTTGTTTTTAATGACGTTTCGCTCCGGCAGTCAATCGGCGTGTTTGTTTTGCATCCCAGTCAAAAGCAATAGAGTGAACGCGATGACTTATCAAACGCACAGTTTAAAACTCCATTCACATTGTGCGTTGCTCAGAAAACACAATATCGGGAAATTAATATGACTTAAAATGACATTTATTTACAAGGGAAAAAACTTTGCTCAGCGTCAGTTGCGACGAGACCGATGTGACTCTGTGATTGATTGGTCCAGTCTGAAGCGATTCCCCGACGACGAAACCGGGGGAAACGAACTTGCGACTGCGTCTCAGGGGTAAGACATCAGAATGAACTGAAATCTTGAGGACATTCATTAAAACTTAGGAGCCTAAGTTGCTGCGCTACATTGACAGACAAATGCACAACGGGATTGTGACTTTGTGAACTCTATCGAGAGTCAGAATTGCCAACACGTGGGTGCAAGCGTGTCGTTGTGTGGTGGTTTGTTGCACAGTAGTACCCGGGCGGACGGGGTTAAGAAGGAAAAGGAGCGCTTCTTTGGCTCGATGCTCTCTTCCCGCCCCTTCGGGAGGTGTCGTACAGTTAAACACTCGGTCTGCGGGCTAAAGGTAGCCTAGCATATCCCAAGGTATTCAAAAATGCATTTTGTGGAATTAATTGTTTGCGAGAGTCACGTTTAAAAGTCGTCTATTAATATATTTAGACAGAGCGCACCGAATTTTTGCTGAAAGGGTGGTTGGTTCCCACAGAAATGCAGTGTTTAGCTGTTAAAACCCAATTTGATCACAAAAGGCAACATTCGGCCACAAAAAAATGTTTGTCAAATTAAATGATCTAACATTGGCGTCAACTGGTGCTTTGCTGTTGACAAATATTTCCTCTTTGCTAGCAAACACAGTTTGATTTCTACATACTGCATTCCTGTCATCACAAAGATCAAATCATTGGTCTGGTCAGGGAAAAAACAATGTTAAGCATTGAAACTCAACCCTGTCTCATTTTTCTGGACCAATACAGTATATTAGTCCAGAAAAATGCAATAGCTGGTCACAAAAAGTTTTTTTTTGTGTTTTGTCTTCACAGGGATCGGTGCCACCTAAAGGGCGCACGTCATGGGCTTGACCAAGCAGTACCTGCGCTACGTTGCCGGCGCCGTGTTTGGCGTGATTGGCAGCCAGAAAGCTAACATCTGCTACGTCATGCTACGCGGCAGCGAGCGCGGGCGCTATGTGGCCGTGGCGGCGTGCGAGCACGTCTTCATCTGGGACACTCGCAAAGCGGAGAAGGTGAGAAGATGAAGGGGGGCGAGAAAACATGCTTTTCAGGACTTCCACAGTCAGGGTTTTTCCCTGAGTCAAATTGAGGCAGAGGTCGCTCCGCTCTGATCAACTGGCTCAAATAAACACATTTCTGTATTAAATATTTTACCACATTTTATTGTTCTACGACATTTTCTTAAATGATGTTGAACCACAAAAAAAAAACAGCTGGACCATTTTATTCAATTTACCTGAACAAAAGTACATGTATGTACAGTAGATACTTCCTGCTCATATTTATTTCTCCACTCCCGGTGCAGGTGTTGATCCTCGCTGGCCAGAAACATGAGGTGACCTTCCTGCGTCCGTCGCCAGATGGCGTCCACCTGGCCGTGGGCTACGAGGACGGCGCCGTGCGGCTCTTCAGTCTGCTCAACGGAGAGAGCGACGTCTGCTTCAACGGACACAAGTCGGCCGTCACTGCCATGTGCTATGACGCGCTGGGCGCCAGACTCGTCACCGGATCCAAGGTCAGTCCGCCGACCGGCCGGCATATTTTGTCAGGTTATAGTAATTCTTCTTACTTCTGTGTTTTTTTTTTCCCCTTTCTCCACTAACAATTCTTGGGCGTGGGCCCCCCGGGTCAATTTATTTATTCATTCATTTTATTTATTGATGTATTTATTTCGATCATTACTGCCACATAAACAAAGTCAAGGTTAATATATGCACAAACTATGGATGGGAAGAAGCAGCTCTTGAATCCATTTTCGCTCGCAGGACACGGACGTGATCGTGTGGGACGTCATCAACGAGTGCGGCCTATACCGACTGCGGGGACACAAAGACGAGGTCACGCAAGCGCTCTTCCTCAAAGACAAAAACCTTCTGGTGACCAGGTACCACGTCATTGGAATACCTATTAGAACAGCTGAACTTTATCAGAAGCACTTGAAACGGTGGCCACTGTGTGCCGGTTGCCACTCGGCATGAACTTGAAGCGCACATTTGGCAACCGCATCATTTCAGTTGTTTTTGGAGCGGGGGTCGGGGGGGTAGACTTTTTCTCTCCACTGTATACGCGCATATGAATGTGTTGCGAGAGTGCGTGTCGGTCAACCAAACGTGTTTGTGGGCAGCTCCAAGGACAGTTTTGTCAAGTGGTGGGACTTGGACACGCAGCATTGCTTCAAGACCTTGGTGGGCCACCGCAGCGAGGTGAGTGTCTTCGCCGTGTCGGCCTCACTTGATTTTCGCAGTTGTCGAACATTGCGTCCAACCAAAGTACCAAATGCCCACTGGTTGTGCTTATAAACTGGCTTGCTTCTTCAACCGTGGAACAATTGTATTTTCATTGTCGTCTATCTTTTGAAGAACCCATCACACACCAAAAAAAAAAAAAAAAACAGATCTGAACAGATGTTATTTCGTTGGGAAGTCGGGTCTCCAATTCAGGAGGAGCAGTGTGGTTCTCGTTCCAGAAGCAGAACAGTGGACCAGACGTTCATTTAAGCGATTTCCATTCTCTAGTAATGAGCGGTAGAACACAGTTTTCAGAACTAGACTCACTTGTATTTTTCGCTTTCTTACAAGTTTGCCCCATTCGGTGGTACGCGACTTTCCCTGACCACGTCGAAATGAAACACCGTTGATCGAAGGGAAAGCCATTGAAATGAAAATGCCCTAGGCATGCAGCTGGCAGCTTACCGCTTGACCTTTTGCGCCACGATCAGGTGTGGGCCATGACCTTTCTTAACGAGGAGCGGCGGCTGCTGACGGGCTCGGCCGACAGCGAGCTTCGGGCTTGGGACGTCAGCTACCCGCGGGAGGTGAGCCGGGACGCTCGGCGACAAGTCGACTCCCCGCCGCCGCTTGCGCCGCTTGATGACGCCGCGTGTGTTGTGCCGTCCAGGAGCCGGCTGAGGGACAGCCCCGAGTCAAGAAGGCCAAGAGTCCGCCGGAGGACGGCGACGGGGATGACCAGGATGCCGATGAGAATCCAGAAGACGTAAGGAGAACGTTGGGGTCACGTCTTGACGCGCGACTCACTGACCGACCGAACGTTTCTCGCCATCTTTCAGCGTATCTTGACTTGCGAGAAAGCAGGCTCCATCCTCCGCGAGGCCAGAGACAGAGTTGTGTCTCTGACCGCTGACAGTAAGGCCAGAGTCTTCGCCTGTCACGTGAGTGCAAAATTGCCACCGAGGCACGTCTCCGCTGAAAATGAAATGCAAAAAAAACAGATGTATTTGTATTTTGAGACTGCATTTTGAGAATTTTTTTGCCTTGAAAACATGTTTATTCGGGAAAAATCTGAAATAGGCCTCCGAGGGATTCTAATACCACTGAGGCGGCAAAACAGCCAATTGGGACACAGAAGGTGTTATTTTTCCACCAAAATGCAACACCAGAAGACTGTGTCGTCCCAAAACCAGCAACCGTGGACCAGAAATTTGGAAAAGAAAACAACATCAAGCCATTAAGTGTTGCTCTCAAATAAATAACGAAATAAAATTTGACCCCCCAAAAATAATTAGCCCCAAAAAGTGATATTTTGCTCCCCAAAAATGGAATCGCTGTTTCATAAAGTAGCAAGCGGATGGTTGCTCAAACATTTCAAGCTGAGTTTCTCCCATTGGAGCCAAACTTTTCCCCGAGAATTATTTCTGATGACTAAAAGCTGTGTTTCTCCCCAAAACAAATGCCCGGGCAATATCATTCCACAGAAATTCAGTTCAGGTAAACAGGACGCTCATAGTCAGAAGGCTGCTCAAACCTGCCCTTTTCCACACGTTGAAGTCTTTTTTTTTTCCTCCATTGGACCACAAAAATCTTGCCTGACAAAAATGGGACCAAAATTTGCATCGCCACACGTGCGCTAGAAAGGCACATGACGCAGCGTTCGAATGGATGTGGATGTTTTGTCCCCCCGCTCGGGGTAAAAGTGGTGTTCTGAAATGTCCCAAAGGACAAAATCCATCCTTGAGTTGCAGCTTCGTACGCTCCGGCTGAAAAATCTATTTTGGGCCGTGACTCGTCAGGGAAACGACGCCATCCTGGAGGTGTTTGTCGTGCAGTCGGAGGAGGAAGTGCGCAAGAAGATGGCCAAGAAGCTCAAGAAAGCCAAGAAGAAGGCCGCCAGGTAAGTTGCCAACAAAGAGTTTTCCACGTCAACAAATGCTCGTCTAGTTTGGGGGCTCCGACAGTTATCCGAATGGCCCCAATCAATGTGTGTGTGGCGATCAATTCTTTTTTTTTTTCTTGGGGGCAACCAGCGCGGACGGCGCAGGCGAGGAGCCGCCACCGGAGAGGACGCTGCGGGACGAGATCGTCCGCCTGAGCAACATCAAGGCCTCCTCCAAGATCAGGTGACGTCCCGGGGCCCCGCCCCCCCTTCCCTCGGGTCACGTGACTTGACTCCGATTCATCTGCGCAGGTGGGCCGACTGCCTGTCGTGTGCCGGCGGTGAGCTGAAGGTGGCGCTGCTGCTGCAGAACAACACGGTGGAGACGTACAGCCTGAAGCTGCGGGACAAGGCGGCGGCGGCGAGCAAGACGGCGCGCCTGACGCTGGGCGGCCATCGCAGCGACGTGCGCACGCTGGCCTTCAGCTCCGACAACCTGGCCGTGCTGTCGGCGTCCGGGGACACCGTCAAAGTCTGGAACAGGTCGCCGCCGGCTTCCGTCCCCATTCGACGTCTCCGGCGTGGCGGGGGCGTGGCTTTTCCCGCGTGGAGCCGGCAAGCGCTCGGAGTCAAAGCGTGCCTTTGTTTTTGCCTTTCAGGTCGACGCTGCAGGTGGTGCGCACCATGGCGTGCGAGTACGCCCTCTGCTCCCTCTTTGTGCCCGGCGACAGGCAGATCATCCTGGGGAGCAAGGTGAAGGGAGGCTTTTTGGACCGCCGGAGAGGGGGGGCGGGGGGGGGTGTCACCTGCCCTCGCCCGCTCACCTTTTGCTCTCGCTTTGGCCTCAGAATGGCAAGCTGCAGATCTTCGAGTTGGCGTCGGGAAGCCTCCTGGAGACGCTGGACGCCCACCACGGGGCCCTCTGGTCCCTCTGCCTGGCGCCCGACCAGGTGGCCCGTCCTCCCTTTCTCGTCCTTTCCTCCCTTCCTTCCTTCGCTCTCCATCTTCCTCCCCTTTTGCAACCTTTCTCCTTTTTGCTTTGCTTTCTATTTTCCTTTTTCCGCTGGTTTCCTTTCTTTGTTTTCACTCATCTTTTCTCGTCTTCCTTCTCTTAACCCATTTTCTGTCTTTTTTTGCTTTTTCTGTTTTCTGCTAGCCCTTTTTATCTTTTCCCCCCTCCATTTGTCCTGTTTTTAAACTTAAATGTTACTGATGGTGAAAATTAAAATGATTTATCAACACGTCAGTACGACTGCTCGTATGGCATTGGTAGTTTGCCACATAATGTGTGTGTGTGTGTGTGTGTGTGTGTGTGTGTGTGTGTGTGTGTGTGTGTGTGCGTGCGTGCGTGCGTGCGTGCGTGCGTGCGTGCGTGCGTGCGTGCGTGTAGCGGGGCATTGTGAGCGGAGGCGCGGACAAGACGGTGAAGCTGTGGGACTTTGAGTTGGTGAAGGATGAGGCCAGTGGACACAAGTAAGTTCAAATGCGTGATGAGAAGATGATTCCAAAGACCATTTGGGACAAGATGCAGGAGTGCGCCATCTAGTGGCCCGGCATGCGTATTACATGATATTGCATCGGTTTTTAAATTTTGTTTTACTCTCATCTGTCCTTCTTGTATTCTTTTTTTTTCTCTCATCATCTCTGCATTCCTCCTTTATTATGTTCCCTTGTTTTCATTCTTTTTCCTTCTTTTTTTCCCCATTTCTGTTTTTTTGTTTTTCTTCCGTATTCCTTTTTTCCCCTTTCATGTTCTGTCGCCCTTTCATATTATTCTGGTGCCTTTTTTTTTCCCCCCCATCCTCTTCACCTTTTTCATGCGCTGCAGGAGGCTGACGTTGAAGCACAGGCGCACGTTACAGCTGGACGACGACGTCCTGTGCGTGAAGTTCTCCCCCGATCACCGCCTGCTGGCCGTCTCCCTGCTGGACTGCACCGTCAAAGTCTTCTACGCGGACACGCTCAAGGTAAAGGAGACGAGGACTCCCTGCCAGTGGCCCCGGCGCGCCTGCCGCATGAAGTGACTTTTCTCTTCTCTTGTCTCGTGTTCGTCCGTCTGCAGTTCTTCTTGTCGCTGTACGGGCACAAGCTGCCCGTCCTTTGTCTGGACATCACACACGTGGGTAGCCACCATGATGAAATGCTCCCGTTGAAACTTGCCGCTCGTCGGTTTTCAGCACTTTTTCATTTCACATTGAATCAATCCGGTGAACATCTTTCCCAAAAGCAGTACGTGCAGTAGAGTGAAGGTCTTCTGGTGCATTGTGGAAAGAGAATCGACTGTTTTAAAGTTTAGTTTGTGGTGGGGGTGGGGGGGGGGGTTCTCCCGAGTTCCCTTTTTAGTTTTGATATTGGGTGCAGACTTAAAAACCAACCGCTGGAATTCTAAAAATCGCCCCCCAGGACAGCAAGCTGATCGCCACGGGCTCGGCGGATCGCAACGTGAAGATCTGGGGCCTGGACTTCGGCGACTGTCACCGCTCCATGTTTGCGCACGACGACAGGTGGGTAGCGCGCCGGGCGGGCTGCGCTCCGACGCGGTCGCCGTCGCCTCACGCCGCTTCCCGTGCGCCCGCAGCGTCATGTTCCTGCAGTTCGTCCCCAAGACGCATTTGTTCTTCACGGCGGGAAAGGACAAGAAGATCAAGCAGTGGGACGCCGACAAGTTTGAACACATCCAGACCTTGGAGGTCAGTCTCTCCTACAAACGTGTAGCTTTTCTTGGCAGGATTTTGTTTGTTTGGCTTTCCGTGGTGTAATAATCACTGCCCCCCCCCAAGGGCCACCATCGCGAGGTGTGGTGTCTGAGCATCAGCCCGAACGGCGACCATCTGGTGTCGGCATCGCACGACAAGTCTCTGCGCCTGTGGGAGAGGACCAGGGAGCCCATCATCCTGGAGGAGGAACGCGAGATGGTGAGGAGCAAGGTGGAAGAAGCTAGCAGCTGTGAACTTTCTTGCCCTCGACACGACTTCTTTGTCATGTGACAGGAGCGAGAGGCGGAGTTTGAGGAGAGCTTGGCCAAAGGTGACGCTCCGGTGGTAAGTTGCCATCTCGCTATTCCGACTCATACTCCCGCACTCATCTTTTATCGCGCCTTATGGACTCTGTTGAGCAAACCGACTGTTAGCATGTTAGCTTCTCAGCGGGATTCCGCGCGTTTCCGTCTTGCCGTTCCGCAGGTGCCGGTCGATGATGTGAGCCGTCAGCGTGCCGGTCGTTAGCATTCGCCCAATTCTCCATTTGAGTCGCATGGTGCCAAATCTTGACTTCTCTGCTCTCTGATTTTCGCACGCTAGCCGTTAGCATTCAATCTCTCTCATAGCCTGAAGTCGATCACGTTTCTCCTCGGTCATACCGCAGGTGCCCGGAGAGACCCCGGGCGAAGCGGCGCCGGCCGGCAAGAAGACGGTGGAGACGGTCAAAGCTGTGAGTTGACGTTACGGCGAGCATCCTTCATCGTGGCGTCGCCAAATTTGATCGCGCGCGTACTCGCCACCAGGCCGAACGCATCATGGAGGCTCTGGAGCTCCTCCGCGGCGAGAACAGGAAGATGGAAGAACATAAATATGCCTGCGAGCGAGCCGGAAAGGAGGTGAGAGAGATTTCAAGACGACTCCTAACGTTGGGTGGACGCGCCTCCTCCCGGGAGATCCATTCACGAGTGAGCGTTAGCTTGGCAAAGGCGGCATGTTGTCGATGCTGTCTCATTTGATTTGCAGCTGGCGCTCCCCGAACCAAATCCCATCCTTGTGGCCTTTGGAAACATCGCTGTAAGTATTTTTATACTCAGAGCGGAAATGATGGAAATTGAACGGTTGGGTTTTTTCCGACAGAGTCAAATCCTCACCTCGCGTTAGCTTTGCGGCCAATATTGACGTCACATTCCTCAAGTAGTGAATGAAAAGAATTTCTCGCCCAAAACCTCCCCCCATTTCTTGATTATGATTATTTATGAATTATTCAACTTTTTTTTCTCCTATTATCTTTTTTCTTTATTGCTTTCAAACTTTTATTTCTCTGTTTTTGCTCATCATTTGCTCTTTTACCTTATTACTTTGTATTTTGGTCCCCTTTTATGGATTTATTTTTGAGTCTGGGTCAGATTCCAGATTTGACGACACTCAGGGGTTGTGATTGACATTGCGTGCGTTTGTGTGTGTTGCACTTCCAGCCGTCCCGCTACGTTCTTGATGTCATCAAGAAAGTCCGATCCAGGTGAGAAGCCACTCTCCAAAATACAACAAACTCACAAAAAACAGCTCTCGATGTTGCAACAGCTAGCGAGACATAAAAGTACAATAGCAGAGTAGGCCTAAGTGTTCAAAATTTAGACGTTAATTGCTCAGTTTGAACATTACTAACACTGCACTTAAATATAGGAAAATTAAGTGTCAGGAGTGATTCCGTTAAATGTATTGCGCAAAAGAGATAAAATTGTACCGACAGACAAACAGACCTTGAAGTCATGTTTTTTTTTTTTTTTTTATTGCATGCTGACTCATACCACACTTTGAAAATCGCTCCTCTGACGTGTTCTTTCTCATTGTGTGTGTCTTTTTTGTGCGTGTTGGTGGGGCACGCACGTCAGCGAGCTGGAGGTGTCTCTGCTGGTGTTACCCTTCCCGTACGTTCCGGAGCTGTTGGAGCTCTTCAACGACTTCATCCGGCAGGGCCTGGAGGTGGAGCTGGTTTGCCGCTGCCTCTTCTTCTTGCTCAAGTCAGTCGAACCGCTGCGACTTCTTTTGTTGCACTGCGTAGCGTCGTACGCTTGAGGACGCGCACGCGCGCGGGCTAATCAAGCCACTGTGAAATGTGACCTCTTTTCAATGAAGCTACAATATGGGCTGACTCGCAATCATTCAAAAAGCAGGATTTGACCCAAGCTTGTGGGGGGGGGGTTTCAGCCCCACATCTCACCAACAAAGTGAGGGCCGCGCTTCAGCGTATTTGATTTATTTATCTTGTCCAACCGTTCTCGCCTCAGAATTCATTTCGGTCGGATCTCCGGCAGCATGAAGCTTCTCCCTGTCGTGGACGACCTGCGCACCAACACGCTCTCCAAAGTGCAGGACATGCGCGTAAGGCCACCCACGACCGGTCATACCCCGCCCCCTCCGCGTCGTCATCCACATACCGGTACTTTTCTGCTCCCCGGATCTAGGACCTGATGGGCTTCAACAGCGCCGCCTTGCAGTTCCTCCAGCGCCAGTTGGAGAGCAAGGAGGAAGTGATGTTCTTCGCCGACGCCACGGGACGCCTGGCTGACAAGAAAAAGCGGCGGCGGAAGCGCGAGAGGGTCATCCTCACTGTCGCCTGACGCAAATCGCAAAGTGGACGCTTGCCTATTGGTTTTTTTTATTCTACCCTGAAAACAATAAAATATATCCCGCTATTTTTTTTTTCCTTTTTCCCACTGAAGACAAGTCCATCCGGGAAAAACAACTTGATCTCTCTCTCTCTCTCTCTATGTCGCTCTCTCTGTGTCGCGCTCTTTTTCACGTGTCTGAAGTGAGGTTTGGCAGTTGCTCAGCTGCCGTGCTCAGAGAGGTAGACCAGAAGAGAAAGGGGAGGGGCGAGGGGGCTTGGTAGGGAGTGCACGCTGAGCACATGCTCCGTCGCATCTGCGCAGCCGCAGACAAAGGAATTGACTTTCCCAGTTCCAACTCGTCCAGAGGATCATAAACACAACGACAAAGACCAACATGGTGAGACAGCACCTGATAAAGGTACCCAGAGAGTTGTATTTTTTCGGTGGGACTGTACTTGGAAAGTTGAGAGCCACTTCACTCGAAGGTTTGTCATTCCTATTGGTCACCAGTCGACGGCTGAAACGAAGTTTGATTTCACCGCGATCCTTTGGGTTTTGCAGGTTCTTCAGCCCCCGGCCCCGTTGGGACCAGCAGAGACCACCCCGCAAGCATCCAGACGAGACTTGCGTCTCAACTATTCCAGCGGAGTTGCCCTGATCAATAAAGCATCTCGAAACAATGAATAAAGTTGGCTTACACGTTTTGGTAGTGTGCGTAATGGGTGTGTTATTTGCACTTTATTCACGATCGCCAACATGGTCTTTTTTTTTTCGGGTTAAAACGCCTTACTATATTCGGCTAACGCCTTACTATACATGGTTGTTTTTTTCATGCAAAAAACACCTTACTATACTATGTCGTTTTTT